TGGTTTTGGTCGGTGGGTTTTTGTTTGCAGTTTTTATGTTTGGATTATTGCTGCCTTTGTGCATAGCATGTTCTGTAATCAAAGTCCCCCTATGGTTTTGTGGGGATGTGTGGTAAGATGCCTTTAGCTTGCAAAAGCTTAATGTAGTATGTAGATGTTTGTTGTCTAATCTTTGAAAATTCTTTGTAGGTTCATGCTGAATACTCCCGATTTGTGAACCAGATAACCACTGCAGTACCCTTAGCAGGTAAGCGTCTGCAGTGATGAAGTCTTTGGAGTTGCGTTCTGCAGAGCCGTACTTACAGTTAGTTTTGTGGAACTTATTTGCCTGTGGAACTCTTTAAGTCCTTTAATTGAGAAGGATGCCAGCTTCTTTTACATTTGGTAACTAAATTTGATATTTTTTGTGACTCTTTACTGAATTGAAGATGACCCCTTTTTCCCCTTTTCTCTCGCCAGGCTTCACGCAGCCTGCCGCTATAACCAGCGTACCTTCCCAGCCATCGTATTACCCTTCCAATGGGTACCAGTCCGGGTATCCTGTTGTTCCCCCTCCTCAACAACAAGTTCAGCCACCGTACGGGGTACCAGGCATAGTACCACCCGCGGTGCCGTTGGCACCTGGAGTCTTAACGACACTGCCTGCAGGAGTTCCGCCTGTGCCAACACAATATCCAATATCTCAAGTCCAACCTCCTGCCAGCACTGGCCAGGTACTGCCGCAGAGTAATTATTTGCCCTATAGTTGTCAACTTACAAAGCTGTTTCTTTGCTAACCACAAAATACCGAAAGTAGTTACAGATGGAGAATTCTTCTTCAGGGCATTTTTCGTTTTGTTATTCCTTTGCTAGTGCTTCTGTCTAAGCAACTAAACTGTTGGTATGGCTGCTTCATGCTGCATTTTTCATATCGTAGCCACATGTTATCATAAAGGATGTTTGGAGGGGGCGGTCACTTGTTTATGAAAAGCAGTATCCCAGGCTGTGGTGCAGCTCTGAACGTTCAGTGGGTTCGAGTTACAAATAGTAACGGGAGAGAGTCCAGCGGAGGGCTGCGAGGATGAGGAGGGGACTGGAACATCTCTCCTCCGAGGAGAGGCTGAGGGAGCTGGGCTTGTTCAGCCTGAAGAAGAGAAGGCTGCG